ATAAAATAATAAAATCCTGCATAGTAGCTTCAGCACTTGCTACAGGTTATGTCACAGGAGCTAACTGGAGGAAAGAGATTGGCCTAGTAACAGATTAGAGTTATGAACAGGCAAAGCAAAACTCCTTTGGGACTGATTGTGTAAACTCTCCTGGATGCTCTAGGCTGCTGAAATGTCTGAGAAGAAAATGGGGCGAAACAGCCCACTCTGTTTCTCCAAACGTGTATCAGTATCACATCCTGACCCAAGTAGTGATGTTTATTAGTGTACCTCTTAACAAGATAAATTGTTTGAATGATAGACATTTGCCATTTAGAAGAGATGCTGACTCTTCTGATACAATTTTTTGAAAGATTTATTTATTTTTCTTAGAAATACGGATTTACAGAGAGAAGGAAAGAAAGATCTTTCATCCACTGGTTCATTCCCCAAGTGGTCTCAATGGCCACAGTTGAGCTGATCCAAAGCCAAGAGCTTCTTCTGGGTCTCCCATGCAGGTACAGGGTCCTGAGGCTTTGGGCCAACCTCTGGTGCTTTCCCAGGCCATAAGCAAATATCTGGATGGTAAGTGTGCCATCTGGGTCATGAGCCCATATGGGACCATGATATGGTCATGGCAAGGACCTTAGCCACTAGACCATCATGCTAGACTCTCCATGCATACAATTTTAAAGCTTATGAAACTGTAGATTAATTTATGGTCTCATCAGTTTTAATTTTTGGTGAAGGACAAAGTGAGAATATTGTTCTCTATTTGTATCATTCTGCAACTTGCATAGTTCCTAATCAAAAGAGTGTAGTACAACCATTTGCAAGTATGGTGTCAAGGGGTTTACAAAATACAAAATGTGTATCTCAGCAGTGACAAGATCTGACTGCCTAGGAATTGTTTGCATAGGAAAAATGTTAAAAATAAGTGGTAAAATAGGGACTGGCATTGTGGCATAATGTGTAAGGCCACTGTATGCAGCAACAGCATCCAATATGGGCAACAGCTGCCATCCCAGTTGCTCCACTTCCACTCTAAATCCCTGCTAAAAGCCTAGGAAAGCAGTGAAAAAATGCCCCAAGTTGTTGGACCCCTGCTACTCTTGTGGGAAACCTGGATGATGAAGTTTCTGGTTCCTGTCTTCTGCCTGGCCATCAGGGCCACTTGGGTAGTAAACCACCATATGGAATGTCTTTCTCTCTCTCTCTCTCTCTCTCTCTTTTTCCCCCAGTGCCCCTTTCTTTTTATGACTCTGACTGAGAGTTATTTGAAATAACAGAATAGATATTATAAAAAGTAAATGAATTGGTGATAAAAGTGGTTGTGAATAGCATGGGTTAAGAAAGCTAGCGAATAAAAGTTTATTAAAAAAACATTCAACTGTGATAAAGATCTTTATGTCATTTTAAAATATATATTTATTTATGTAAAAGGCAGAGTACAGTGGGAGGAGTGGGGGTGGCAGGAGATCTCCTATCCTCTGGTTCACTCGCCAAATGGCTGCAAGAGCTAAGATTAAGCAAGCTGAAATGGGAGTCAGGAACTCCATCCAGTCTCCTACATGGTATCCAGGACTCAAGTACTTGACCCATCATCACTACCTTTCCTCATGTATTAGCAGATAGCTGGAATGGAACTGAAGCAGACAGAATTCAAACAGGAATTCAGTGGAAGTTGTAAGCCTCCCAAGCTGTGGTTTAACTGACTGTACCACATAGCTCACTTCAAAATCTTTACACTTTTCAAAGATCTCATTATCTGCCTGATCTCATAAAGTAGGAAATCTTGCTAGACTTGTTCAGAAACTTGAAGTCAATTACAAAGTACCCAAAATTGCTGCTCTAGCAACCCAGAATGTTAATTTTTAGCAGTGATTCTACGATAGGCAGTTGCGGCTGTTATGCAATAAGTGAAATTCTGTAAAGAGATAGATCATAATCACTTGTAGCAACACTGAATGTTGAGAGTTGGGGAACTTGGGGATATGGGTGTGTCTGAGAAATGTGAGCTATGGAATCAGGAACCTGGGGCAAACAGACACAGGTGGAAACGATGAGTCCTTGGCACTGCAACACTCCTGCTTCTCAAGGGCAGGCACAGAACTCTAGCAATCACACTGCTCCTCTGGCAGTCCCCAGTAAACCTTACTTGAAAAGTAAACTCCAAGAAACAGACACTAAATTTTATAGGGACCAAGTATTATATTTGTCTCAATGCCGTTATGTCCTAGAACTGTTACTGACCCGCATGACCTGGAAAGTAAACACAACAGCTAGACTTATTTTGTCTGGAAAGCAGTTGCTGTGCAATACCCTTTCAGCTCATCCCTGTGCTTGCTACTTAGTCTTTTAGTACCAGTGGTCAAAGGATAGCTGTCAGTGGGGTAATGCAATGATGGGGCGGCATCTATGCATCTCCTTAAATAAGCCTCGTGAGGCAGAGGGAGTAATTTCACCTTAGTATCCTGTCTTGAATTTGTGTTTTACTTGTGGAGCACCCTGCCACCATGCAGGAAGCAGAATCCTAACATCTTTCTTTATTAGAAAACAGTCATTTTCACTCCATGAGCCAAGACCAACAGATGGTGGTGGTAATGGTGGTTGTGGCAGTTGTCAGAAACATATCAAATGGCAGGAGAAAGAATTAACTAGTGGATTCCAAATTTCATTTCTACTCCCTCCTCAAAAATCACAGAAGTAATCCTCCCATCAAAGTCAATTTCTTTCACCAATAATGATAAAATTTCAGGTCATATATTCTGTTTTTTTCTTGTTTAAAAAGCAATAACAAATTACCTGTCAGAGAATTAGGAGATGTAAATAGCCAGAATTTTTATTCTTGAAAAAGAATAAAATTGTGGCACCAACAAGTTAAGCTACCACCTCCAACCCTGGACTCTCCTATTGGAGCAGTGGTTTGAGTCCTGAAGGATCCACTTTTGATACAGCTCCCTGCCTTAAAAAGCATTGAAAAGTGACCCAAGCGCTTGGACCCCTGCCACCCACTTGGGAGACATTGAAGTTCCAAGATCTTTTTAATGAAAGTTTTCACACATAGGTGAACCTTGAAGACATTATGCTCAATGAAATAAACTAGTCACAAAGAAAGCAAATATTGTGTGAGCACACATATATGAGATTCCTGGTATAATCAAATTCATCAAGACAAAAAAGTCAACAGTCCCGGTGTGAGGCTGATAGAACCTGGCTGAGAAGCAGGTTTCAGTCTGGGAAAATGGAAAATGTGGTGCGCTAGTACAGCGACGATGGCTACACTACAGTGTAAATGGATTTGATGCCACAAAAAAGAACACTCAGAAATGGTTAACCTGGAAAATGTTACTGTTTGTATATTTTACCTCAGTAAAAATTTAGCAGTAAAATGACCCAGAATTGTAAGAGGATGAGTTGTCAAAAAATATGAAGAAGTTAGATATCAAATAATAGAGAAACAGAAATGATTAGATAAATTATGACTATGCTCTCAGTGAGATATGTTTGTAACCAGTAACACTTACAATGGTGGCAACATAAAAAACTACTAAGATAAGATATTGCACAGGGTGGGGTTATAGAGGGATTGTCGTATGCTCTAATCGGAAGTATAAATATGGTTCTGGGAAAAAAACCTGAAAGGGAATTTCAAAATGCTTCAAAATTTTATGTGAAGATGCTGATATTACTTCTTTTGTCACCTAATTCTCAATTGTTTTGGAAAGTGAATATAATGACTTTAGTGAGAAATTTATAATTAAAAACGGAAATGAATGAATGAAATGAATAAGAAAATATATTGATGGTTATTAAAAGCCTCTGTAGCTTTTTTCCCATAGAACCTGAAATGCTGGGTGTTTTTCTGAAGTTGCATAAATATCAAGATACAGGGAACTGAGGTTCCTGGAAAACCCTTGTTCTTTGCTTCAAAATTATTCAGGATTCAGGTCACTGAACAGAGGACACAGAAGATGAGCATCTTTGAAGAAGGACACTTTTCAGGGAATGTCCTGCCTTTGTCACTGGGTGAAGACAACTTCCCAGGGGCAGAAACTGCATGCCTATCTAGGTTAAAGCTGACTCATATCTTGGCAAATAGAGCAGCCTTTGAAACTGCTTTCCAAAATCAGGCTGTGAGTCGAAGTGGGTTATTCTTAAAACTTAATTATTCATCCATCTTCTGTCTCCAGCTACCTTATTGGCATTATCTTTTCTCTCACAAACTCCACTATGACTCATACCAGCCCATACTACCCACTGAAGGCAAGAGAGTCAGAACATGTGCCAATGGGACCGGGGAAGGGCAGACAAGAGAGCACTGGGCTTGAAAGGTGCTGTCTGTGCTTCAAAAGGGGCAGGCAGAGGACAGGAGAAGGTATGCTGCAGTCACACTTCAGAGTAGACACAGCTCCTTTACAGGTTGACCTTGGCCTTACCTGTAGAGCAGCCCACAGGAGGATCAGCTTCCCGGGGACTTGAGAAACGTGTATTTTTATTTTTATTTTCAGTTGAAAGAGTTACAGAGAGAAGAAAAGACACAGAGAGGGAGATCTTGAACCTACTGGCTCACTCTACAAATGGCTGCAGAAGCTGGAACTAAACCAATCCAAAGCTAGGAATTGGGGTCTTTTTCTGGGTCTTTTGCATGGTTGCAGGTACTGAAGGGCTTAGCCATCCTCCACTACTGTTCCAGTTCATAAGCAGAGCTGAATCAGAAGTGAAGCAGCTAGGATGCCAACTGGACCATATGGGATGCTGGTTCCACCAGCCCTCAGAAAGGTGTATTTTAATATGTTAGGGTCAGCATTCACCTCCCTTCCAATAAATCCTGCTTCCTCCGAGTTTTCAGAGCTATGTGTTCCAGAGTCATATCCATAGCAAATACTGCTCACAAAGTCTCCCAACTTAGCTCCTTTCCATGAAGCTCTTTGATTCTATTATTAAGAAGCTTTCCAATGCTCCATTGTGCTTGTTCTGCTCTCTGCCATATTGAACCGTTGTCTCCTTATCCACCCTAGGTGGTTCGAGATCAGATCTCTCACTGCACTGTGAAACTGCGCCAGACCACAGGCCTCATGGAGTACTGTCTGGAGGTGATTAAGGAAAATGATCCTAGTGGCTTTTTGCAGGTGGGTATAACTCATTTCTGCCTTGTCTTCTAAGTGTCCCATGCAACTGAATCTCAAACCCCCAGGAAGGGCTTCCAATGCCTGTATTGGTAACAGACCTTCATCAGTGGGTGGGTGCTTGCTGAATAAATTCCACTGCATTTCTGGAAGTGCCTCTTACGTATACTGCAAAACTGAGAATACATGGACTGTGTTTGTTTTGTCCCTGTATTCAAGCTCCTCCAAAGGTAATGCCTTGCAAGAACTTGAGTTTTTCTCCAATAATGTCCCTTGGATAGTTTTATCAGCTGGAAGTGTACAACTATACAAGGTTTTTATTTTCTTTGCTACCTCCCACTGGCCAGCAAGTCCGTGACTTCTCAGATGTAATGAAGGTTTTTGTTGTTGTTGTTGTTGTTGTTCTTAGTGTTATTTTAGAAGGATGTAATAATCTAAGCCAAATTTTGCTTAATTTTTATCCTTGTAAATATCTTCCAACTCACATACTGATAAACTAGTTTAGATGACAGAGACCAAATATTAAAAAAAAGTTGTCAACAAAAGAAGAAAATGATAATCACATAAAGATTATGCACTTAATATATAAGAAAATCTATATGCAGTCTCTTTAAACTGTTTTATAAAACCTATTTGCAAGTCTTAATGAGATATCCACAGCTAAAATTAGATACTGCTCATTCTTATTAGAGTAAGTGGTCACCACTGTATCATTATTTGAAGTTGTTGTCTTTTACTGATGATGAGCACGATGCTATATGCAGGTTTGTTTGTTAGACCAGTGAACATCTGCTGTTTATTTAGAGTTGCTCCTAACTCATAAACACGCTCAGATATGCTGCCTAAGGCATGGATCACCTTTGTGGTGATAGAACCTTTCTCAACAGCTGCATTGCAGCAGGAAGAGCAGGAGCCCCAAGGAGGTTTGGGGGTGACACACCCCAGGGTCAATATGCAGCATTATGTAGGAGTGTGGTGTTGTATTTCTTAGGCTGTGATCTTTGATGTGATTAGATCTCTGACGCCCTCATAAGGAGAGTGCACCTGACTGAGGACCAGTGGGGGAAAGGCACCCTTACTCCCAGGATGACCACCGACTTCGACCTGAGTCTGGACAACAGTCCTCTGCTACAGTCCATTCACCAGCTCGACTTCGTGCAGGTGAAAGGTACGTGCTAGATCCCTGGGTCAGGCAACAGCAGCCCAAGGAGATACTGGTGCTTGAGGCAGGTTCAGTGTACCCGGGTTAATGTCACAAAACCCTGGAGTAGCTTGGATGTGACCTTCCTCTGAGCAAATCAGATAAATTCAGTGCTTGCCTGTTTGAGAGTCTTAGAGATACCACACGCCCAGCATCAGGGAATAGCAAAAATTATCCAGAACATACCATTATTCAACGCAATTATTTATAACATTAATAATGAGACTGAATGATCTCATCTATCTTTTCAATACTTCATCTTAATTTACTTTACTTTTATTATCACTCTGCCAAGTTAATTTATATGCTCTGCTTTGCACTAAATTAATTAATTCAGTAAGAGCACATTTGTTTTCAGAAGCTGAGTGTTTATGTGTCAGCTGCATGTGGTGGAAGGAAAAGTCAAAAGTTAAGATGCAGTAGGGCCCGATTGGCCGTCATTGACATTTCTCCTACTGTCCCCTGTCATATCTGTTAACACAAAATATAGCTCTTCCTGGCGGAATGTTCTTGTCATTTTGTAAAAGATACTTCAATAATCTGTACTTTCACAGTGTGTCCATAAAAATTATCTCAAAAAAAAAAAAAAGATAACCATAGGGTTCAGTGCAGTGGCCTAGTGGCTGAAGTGCTCACTTTGAATGCGCCAGGATCCCATATGGGCACCAGTTCTAATCCCGACAGCCCCGCTTCCCATCTAGCTCCCTGCTTGTGGCCTGGGAAAGCAGTCAAGGACAGCCCAAAACCTTGCGACCCTGCACCTGTGTGGGAGACCTGGAGGAGGTTCCTGGCTCCTGACTTTGTACTGTCTCAGCTCCAGCCATTGCGGCCACTTGGGGAGTGAATCATCAAATGGAAGATCTTCCTCTCTGTTTCTCCTCCTTTCTGTATATCTGGCTTTGTAATAAATATAAATAAAGCTTTTTAAAAAATGTAAAAACCACTATATATATGGCCAAAATTAAGGCATGTCTGAGCTGATATTAAAGCAGTCTGACATGGTGAAACTAACAATGTATATGCTTAATTTTTGTTCTAAAAGTGTGCCAAGTAGATGGAAATGGAAAGTTAAATATTTTCAAAGTTACTTAAAATATGCATTTGAAATTACATTGCAAAATGGTAACCAAAATAGGAGGCCACTTAAAAATTATGAGAAAATGATATTTATTTTCTGATAGAAAATTTAATTCACACATATGAGAGTTTTTTAAATGTTCATAGAAATATGTGTGATTAAAAATCTACATGTATATTTTAACATGCTTTTACATAAAGTTATCTTTTACTTTGCTCTTCTGGAAGCCTTTTGAAATATTCCGATAACTTCATTGCTTTGGCTCACAGTTTTAATATTCCATTTCCCTAGTCTTGAAATTTCACTAGAGATAATTTTATTGTTGTTATTGTTGATTCTCAAAGTCTGCAGTTGGGTTTTCACAGTTCCTTTAGACAGTGAGAAGACAGTGCCTAAAAGTCATTCTCTTATTAGCTAAAAGTTGAGCTGGTTTGCTCTTGCTGACTCCACATCCACTTTCCCCACAAGCAATTGTGATCGCTGTGGAGTGCTGGTACTTTCTTCATTCAAGAACACCTAAATTGTAATGACATGTGTTCTGTTGAGTGGAAAACCATCTTACAACTCTTTCCATATTTCCTCATTTCCAGATTGGTGTTTGAGGTTTCAGAGTTGTCTTTTATGGAAAAACAAAGTATTAAATTCATCTTTTGTTTTTGTTCAAGAGTGATAGAAACATTTTCCCTCATAGTTTTAGGTTGGTATTAGCAGCTTTCCCAGATCATAGAAAGGAAATTGTAAGAGTCTTCTCCTACTCTGCCAGGGCTCTGCTTCTAGGTTAAGAACAGATTTCAGACACCTGATCCATTCTGGATTAACATACCCAAGAGTCATCTAAATACAGAGTATTCCAAGGTTCACAAGTTGTGGTGCTGAAATGAAATACCAGTGTATTTATTCTGAACTAGTACAAAATGATGACCCACTTCTCCAAGAATGGTTGTTAATTGTGTATGTGCTTCTACTCACCTAAGCACTCAGTTGTCTTTACTAAATCATCCTGAATGCAAGAACCCTGAGTGTGCAAAAAGGTCATAGCTAGTGACAGCATGATCTGAACAAGCTCTGGTATAAATCATAGTGAGGGCCACCAGAGAGCTGGCAAGGACCCTCGTGTGCTCCATGTCATTTGTTTCTGCTCCGTGTTTGGGGGCCTGAAATGCATGTCCTTCACCCATATATTCACCTTTGTCAATGACAGTGAACCAGTGACAGCTTCCTGAATGCAGCCTGCAGTGCCTCTATCATCCGGCTTTCCCCAGCTGCTATTTGAATTGCTCATCCACCATAAAGAGGAAGGACAATCTACAAAGGAACCTCAAGGAGGATAGTACAGTAAAAGTACATTTCCAACCATTGTGCTCTGAACATGAAATGTCACATAAATTACTACCAGTGACAAATGGGTATTTTAGAAAACAGAAACTTGGCATTAGGCATGGAGATTTTTCTTCTGGACACTATTACTAATTACCAGACTGAGGAAGTAATATAATGCTTCAGAAAGTTCATGGAAAATTATATTGAAATTTGCTGTGTTGCAAAATGCTTACATATACACACACTACATTAGAGGTGGGGGTGGGGAGGGAGCACTCCCATCTGCTAGTTGAATCCTCAGGAATCGGAAAGAGCTGAAAACTCAGTCCAGGTCTCCCACGTTGGACGGCTGGAACCCAATTACTTGAGCTTTTATTGCTGCCTCCCAGGGACCCCCTTAGGAGTTAACTGGAGTCAGGACCCAGAGCCACATATCAAACCCAAATATTCCAATGTGCAATGCAGGCATCTTAGACACTAGGGTAATAAATGCCTGCCTCCCTCCCTCTCAGATTTTGAAATCATATATGCAAAAAGTCTTTTAAAGTTCCCTGAAAAATAGGCATCATGGATTTGAATTTTTGTACCCAAATAAATTTGTCTTTCATTTCCATTTTCCATGAATTTTTTAAGGTATTTCATATAATGCAGTGCTAAATAAACACCTCTGGAGCTAGCCTGCTTGGCTCAAATCCCAGCTCTGTCACTTGCAAGCCTTGGAAAGTTTCTGTGGGTCAGGTTCCTTGTCTGCAAAATAGAGATGATAATAGCACCTCTCTTGTGGTGTTGATGGTAATACATGGAAAACTTTTACTATGCATGTGTAGTCAGCGCTCAAAGAGCATCTCTTAGGATTAGTGTCCCACTATAAGGTGGGAAGCCAGCTTTCATTATCATGTGAATTGTCATAATAGTCTATTCTCACAGAAGAAATCTGGATGGCTGTGAATGTTCACAATGTGAAGGGTTAGAGAAAGAATTCAATAGAAAAAAATGTGAACTATAATTTGGACCAGAAAAGTCCTAAAAAAAAAAAAAAAAAGATAGACATGGCTACTTGGTCTCTTTGTTAAAGACCAACCATAAAAGGGGAGGATACTTGGAAGCCACTGTTCTGGAATTTCACTTTGAGCCATGTCTCTGGCAGCCCCATCCAGGAAGTCAGTAAGAATAGCTAACCTTTTGTATTTAAAAGGAGAATTTTTAGCCTAAGGTTAATTTTGTAAGCTAAAGAATGCTGAGTGCTAGAATTCTGACCAGATAGGTCAGGACAAGTTAGTTCTTAAAGAAAAACTAAAGATGTCCTGGAATGAACATAAAAGTGTATAGATCAACAAAGCTATAGAAGTGCCAAAGAAAGGGTTTTAGTAAAATAAAATGCTTCCACATTTTTCTAAACCATAAAATATAGTGCTAGTTGTACCTAGGTCTACATGGAGACATTGGTGTTTCTTATCAGAGTCACTGAAAGCATTTACATGATTCAATTTGAGATGATCTTTTGATCCTGTCCTAAGGCTTTATAATTGATGAAATATTGACCTGCCTTAATCATAGACATTAGGAACTTAGAAGACTGACAGTTAACAAAGTGAAAGAGTCAAAGAATTGTTTTATGGTAGGCACTGACTGATGAAGATCACTCGTAACAAATGTCCCAGGGATAGTCAGCATGTCTCTGGAAGCCCTTGGAAGAATGAATGGCTTAAACTTGTCATATTTTAAAGTACTCTTTTAATAAATAAGTTTCAAAAAACAAAGTAGGTCCTGAATCCTTACAGATGTGTAGGTGACCCTGCAGTTACAGCTCTGAGTGTCACTGTTTGGAAAACACTCTGCTTCCTGTCTTCCCCTCTTTCCATCTGGCCTTAAAGTCTGTTTATGGAACCAAGCAATGAATTCATCTTTTCTCCAGGTCCAATTATTGTAGGACTTTAGAGACCGCAGCAGTCATAGTCCTCTGATAAGATTCCACCTCAATCTTGTGCCATTCAAGCTTGAAATCTGATTTATTTTCTCAAGCTGATGCATTTAGTTTGCTAATCATGGATTTTGACTTAATTGATCTAATTCTGTAGTTCAGTCAAGATTTTACTATAGTATGTAGGTTCTTTTTCTTAGTTAACCTGTTTATAAACCTTCAGTCAGGATTTTACTGTAGTATGTCACATTTTTTTTCTCCGTTAACCTGTTCATAAACCGAAGTTTACCCTATCTCATATGTTAGCCACTGCTTTTATTTTCTAGAGATCCACTATAGATCCTGTTTCCTAAATTGCTGTTAAAAATAAACCTCTTCTGAGATGGGGTGACTGACAGAGCAAATTTAATTCGAAGCATGTATAACACAGACAGTCTGTCCCATAATTAACATCTGTTCACCAAAATGTCCCTGGATGTTGGACTAGTTTTATTAAAGTGTTCTTTTGATAAAGCTGTTCTGTTACTAAAGTCTAGAAATAAGTAAATGTTTTGGTCTTAAAATAAAATTCAAGCATTTGGTAAAAATTATTTCGCAGCTACAAGCATTGGGTTCATATGTTAGTAACTGGAATTATTTATTGAATAGCATACCTTTTTAAAAATAAATTAACTATTTTATTAATAATAAATTAGTTTTTAATTTATTATTTTAAAAATTATTTTTATTTATTAATTTATTATTAAATTAATAAAATAGTCAATTTATTTTTAAGGCACAGTGATACATAGAGAAAAGGAGAGACAGAAATAAAAAGTTCCCCAGAATTTTTCCAAACTGAGAAATGATGATTTTTGTCACACGGCACAAAGCCTGGAGAAGAATCACAAGGGTAGGGAGGTGAGTCTTGCTTGGTGGTATATCAGGCCAATCCTCTGACTATAGTGCCAGCATCCCTTATGGACACTTGTTTTAGTGGATATGGAACTCATCCCCTTCTATATGCCACAACTAAGGTGACATGTCAAGAGCTGAGGGAAGGGCATCCTCACAGCTGAGGAGCCAGTCCCATCATGGAGACTCTGAGACAGATCCCAACCAAACTGGGTGCTTCTAACCCCATGTTTACCAGGGGGATGCCATATCAGGATACTGAACTATTTGCGACACAACAGAAGCCAGGGTTACACTAATTTCTGTTTAGCTTCCTCTCCAGTCCCAGCAACCCCCATCCTACAGCTGGAGGAGTGTTGCACCCACAACAACAGCGCCACGCTGTCCTGGAAACAGCCGCCTCTGTCCACGGTGCCTGCTGAAGGATACATCCTGGAACTGGACGATGGCAGCGGTGGTCAGTTCCGGGTAAGTCAAGAACCTGTGCTTCATTAGGCAAAACCAGTGATTCTCTTGGGAGGTTGTGCCTTGGAAGCTGGCCTCGCTTTCTGATATTTCATGGGCATGGGCCATCTTGGCAGGCCCTACCTCCTCTTTGGCTAAAGGTCTGCTTTGTCCTTGGGCCATCAGAGGTGTCTCTACTGATGTGTCGTATTCTTCTTACAGACAGTAGAAGCAGCACTGCAAACTCTAGATTTATACTGCCTTAGCTCTAATTAGGTAGCCTCCACTTTGCTGGGTGACGGGGTCTGCTTCTTACTTCTTTGAAGGGACATGATAACAATAACCTGAATCTTAGAAATTTATGATTTGTGTGCATGGCTGCTTGTCTCTACATATCTGCTTCTCAGGTACCCTGCCTAATTCTTATCCATCCTCTCTTCCCACACTGCCTTCCACCTTCACTGCCCCAGTTTTGCCTGAGTTTGTCTCTCTTGTGAGCATTGATGTTTGAGAGCTCTAGAAAGAGGAACAGCCTTTCTTTGTCATGAGCCATTCCCCACACAGAGACCAAGTCCCTGAAGACCAGCCTGCTCCCAACTGTCAGTGCCCATCCCTAGACACTGGCTTTCAAGGCCTATCCAGCCTCCTTTTCCTGAATATGTCTTTGGCTTTCCACAGAACTTGAATCCTAAGATCAGAAACCACATCCTATACAGTTTTCTGTTTTGATGGGAAAGCTTTATTTACATAGGTGTCAATTTATTGGCATGATAAAATCAGGTTAATTCCTCTGCAAGATACATATCTCGGGTTCCATTTATGTTTGTGTCTTTTGTACTATGTGTGTATGTGGGTGTGGGTAGAGTGAGCATGTGTGGGTGTGTGTAAAGACCTGTGTCAGTTTCTCATCCATGACTTTGCCTTTTTAAACTGGTTTCATTTTCAAGGCCTTTCTTTTTTCATAATTATTATTATTTTGGCTGGAAAACATTCTCCTGACTTTCATAGTTCTCTAAATAAATTATCTCAATTCCTATCTAGGGGAGTGTCTCATACTTTAGCCAGAGTTCAGTCCCCCTCCCTTACTGTCCAATGACATCCTGCTCTTTCCCCTTGCCTCCACCTGCATGCTAACCATTTTCTAGTCCAGTTCTCTAACCCATACTTCTCCTCTAAGAGTTTGGCCTAGAAATGCCTTGAAGCTTTCTTATACTCAATGTTCTTTCAAATAAGCCTGCCATTTTCTTTTATAACCTAGTCCTGTTCTTTCTACATCCCTACTTGTCCTTACTTTAATATCAAACTCAGACTCTTAGCACCATCTGCCTACCCCTTCCTATAGGAGCCACAGTTAAACACTGATGAAGTCCTTGAATCCTACTTCTAGTGAACAGGGCTTTCTTATCTGGATCCCTTCCTCTTATTCCACAGGCTACCCCAGCGTACTCCCAGCCTATCCCTTCAGGTTATTCCTTGCTGTACCACTCAAAGAGCAGTCCTCCCCAACATGAGAACTTATTAAAAATATGAACTCTCAGACCACCACCCCAGGAACCTTTTGGATGAGAAAACAAATTTTAACAAGATCCTCAGATGATTCATATGCAACCAAAGATTGAGAAGAGGCCTGAATAAAAGGGTGTGATATTTAAGTTTGTGTTACTGCTGAAATAGTAAGGAATGGATGGGCAACCCAAGACTCCAGTCTTCTATTAAAAATTTGTCACTTTAAGACTGTGCTTTGAATGCAAATCATTTCTAGTCATTACATCAGCATAAATTTTACAAAGTGTACAGCTAAAGAGGGAAGTAAATGCCTAACCTATGCTAAAGATGCGTTATGCTCAGATTTATTTTAAGCCTTTGAAATGTCAGTCTTGCTTTCTTCCCGATTTCCTCCCCCCTTCCCTCTGTACTGTGAAGGAAACCTACGCCCCTATGACTTGGAGTGTAATCTTTGTGATGGTACCTAAATATTTCAACAGAGTTGTCAGTGCACATAAAGATCACCTTTCTTTTCATGCATGTATTTTAGAAACCATAGCAATGGATAGTAGGTATAATGTCCTTTACAAATACCAAGTTGCTGTTAGTAAGCATAATCCTAACTATAAGAATCCAATTTTAATTTTTTAAGCCCCAGCTGCCAATAATTTTCACTCATTAAGCTGCAAGGTTCATGCTAAACTTGAGGCACCAGGCTATATACACATATAACATTATGTAATCCTCATATCAACTTCATAAGGTGCCCTCATTTTGCAGATTGGGAGATTGAAGTTTAAAAGGTAAATTCTGTGATCCCATATCTCACAGGATTCATATCTATGTCAGGCTAATGCCAAAACTGTTGCTTCTAACTTAGCCATATTGCACCCCCCTTACTCCTCAACTGAGTTTATTTGAAATGGGTTCTGCTACTTTTTGACCCTCAGGAAGTGTATGTGGGAAAGGAGACAATGTGCACCGTGGATGGGCTTCACTTCAACAGCACATACAATGCTCGGGTCAAGGCCTTCAACAAAACAGGAGTGAGCCCCTACAGCAAGACCCTGGTCCTGCAGACGTCCGAGGGTAAGGCCCTTCAGCAGTATCCCTCAGAGCGAGAACTGCGTGGCATCTAAAATGGCTGGCAAGCCCGGAGGTAACCCCAGCAGTGCCCACATTCCTGAAGTGTTTCCATGACTTACTCTGCATTCTGGCACGGAGCTGCCATTCCTCTCCCACCTTTAGAGAGCCCATGGGATGTGGATGTGACCAAACCAAAGCTTCCACATCGACAGTTCCAATGGCTTGGGCCGGCGGCTTGCTTTGGTAACATTCTAAATAAGCTACAATTGAAGAAGCTGAACAATGAAGGCCTGAATTTGTCCCCGGTGTCTAAGACGAATGTATTTAGGCTCTAGAGCAGGTTCCCATTCTCCACCGACATACATCACTTGCCAGTTTTTCCCAGATGATTCTATAACTCTGTAGCACATGCTTGTGCCTGGGAGTGGGGCCTAGGTTCTTTGCAGCTGTGGATTTGTGTGACTAAATGTGTTGCAAGTGGGTGAGGGGTGCTAGAGCTGATCAGAGAGGGCAAGGCAGCCACTCATGCGTGAAACAGCGTGGACTGCATCCATTCCGTATCCCAAGCTGAGGCTGCTGGCACCGGGACTGAAATTTCCTGTGGGCAGCAGCAGGAAAAAGCCAGCAACTCATTGTCTTGTCATTTTACCTGTGGCAGTCCCCTTAGTCTAGGGGAGGCTGGTTAGGACCACTGTACAAGGTTACTCTCTAAAGAACTTTTGCTTCTTGTCTATACTGTGAATGTTTTGGCCATCAAAGATGACTACTAATCCATCTCAGATGAAATACTTGAGTTTGATGGCCAAGTATAACCCTCTAATGCTTTTGGCATTTTCATTTCGAGAGTAATGGCACCAAGGAAATTAAACTTAGGAAGAGACATTTATGCTGGTGCCAAAGCATTTTGAGACCTTGAGGGTGTCATTTTAATCAGAGAAATCACACCCCCACTGGCATTCTGTAGAACATCCTTCTACAGAACTAATTATGGTGATTTTGTTCAAGATGTTAGGTACAAGAACTGGGATGGTGTCTTGTGCTTCCCACAAACCTCGACATATGCCAGTCACCCCTGAAAATGGTTCACATGGTTAAAAAAAAAAGCACAATTTCAAATACCATGGCAAGGGCAAAGGACCCTTGGCCATGAAGATGATGCTTTGAGGAGTGGTTGTTGGTCTAAGACAGATGTTACTCCAAGAGAAACCTTTGTTAAAGGGAAAATGCCTGCATGCCCTAACCTCTTTGGATGAAGTGACACTGTAGCTGGACTTCCCCTAGCATAGTCATTTGAACAACTGTTCTCTGGAGTGACCTATGCTTTTAAGAATAAGTTTCTTCTTTCCTAAAAACACCATGCTAAGTGCTGAAGCCCTCTAAGAGGTTTTCCTAGGTGCCATGCTGAAGCTATTTGATGGTGATGGCCTCATTTCCCATGTGTGTACAAGGTTTGATTGAGGAGTAAAGTGCATGCCCACAGAGCAGAGAGGAAGCCACAGCCATGTTGCTAATACTGTGCCATCAGACCAGCGGGAAAACAGTTTCTATCCATAATACATCGTAAGAATCGTGCTATTCCGCTAAGATCACTTACTAGCATAGCAGCCTGAGTGCTTAGGATGTAGTCTCTCAGTTTCTTTCATGTTCATAAGATTATGGTGTTTAATTTAATAAATTGCAGGATTGGAACTGCGATCCCTGGTACCACAGTCACAGAATTGGGGGTCATTTTCTAAATGAAACTAATGGAACAAGTTTTCTTCCAACAAAGAAACTGTACTGTAGAAATTAATTTCTTCCATGAATTTTATATATTGTGTACAAATGTAAGGTATGTATCCAATACAAAGAAAACTCATCATGTAGATATCAGTATTCTCTGTTACTGCACAGAAATGATTTTCTCATGATGAAATAAAGTTCACATACATACTTTCTCCATAACCTTGGTTTGTTCTATTTGTTTCTCCCTCATTCTAATTTATACAGTGAGACAAGATTTAGAAAGCAAGAAAATATATAGCAAATAATTTATTTTTGAAATGAAAGATTTTATTATGTCGTAATGATAGAGAAACACCTATAAAATTAAAATAATTATATCCCTTTTTGTTTTGTAGAACTCAGTGAGACAAAGCTATTCACAGAATTTTGATATATTCACTGCAGTTTTATTTTATTAATCTTGTTTTCTACAGTTCCTGGAAAGGTTTGCTTTAGAGATTCTTGCTTTTTGCTGATCTTGGGGGTTTGGAGGGGTGGTTTGTTTTGGCTCTTTACTATAATGAAATCCTTCATGTTCTTAGTTAACCATTTACCAAAGTTCAAGACAAAATGTATCACAGAAAGGTATAATTTCATATGTGATGGCAAGTCTAACTTACTACCAGCATGCTGTCTGAGATTTAAATCACGCATTACATATATTCTTTTGGAACCATCACAAAACCTTCGGATGACTTAAAGTTGATGTAATGTAAGTGATATTATAGATTTCAGAAATCTATGGTTTGAACTGTAATTTTTTTTAAACAGATATCTCTCCCTGGCTCTCTCTCTCTCTTTCTCTCTGTCTCAGACAGTGCTTGATAAGTAGCTACTGAGTGCTGTCCTGGGAGTACAGAGAAGAGCTACGACCTTGCCACCATGGAGCTCACAGCCTGAGAAGAGAGACAGGCCTTACACAATGACCTCCTAACAAATTGCAGTAAAACACTGTGAACACAGAAAAAAGGACCGCAGAAAGACACGATTTTGATAAATTTGGTCAAGAAAACAATGAAAGTCAATATAATCTAAAGGAAATGATAAAGAATGTGTCATTAGAAGAGAAAAGGAAAGGAAATCCCATTACTATAGGAGTTCAAGTTGGATAGTTACTTGTAACTGAAGTTCTTGGAGATAGATATATCTAAGGCAATCATGCACACAAGGCCATCTGTAAAATTACCCTTAGAAATAAATATAACTGTAAGCAGTTAGAATTTTCAGTGTCTTTAAAAAATAAGGCTCACGAACGTAACACTGTATATCAGAGTAATTCACTGAATGGCCATCATGGCTGCGTCCCCATCTTTGAAACCATCTGCAGAAGAGATGGTTCTTTCAGAAACATTCTGTAAGAATGCATTTTGATACACGGAGTTTTGAGACTCATTCTGTGTGACTGACTGACTACCAAAAAAAAAAAAGAAAAGAAAAGAAAAGAAAGAAAACCTAAGGCTAACACGATAAGAAACATTCTGCTTGTATTTTCCAACTTCCCTCTAAGTAAAGTGTAGTGCTTTTTTGTTTTCAATCTGGAGACATGAAATCAAGTAAAGGCAGTGTTCCTGGATCTGAAATAGCTCACTGAGGTCCTGTACCCCTTGGGGCCCTCCCTGGGCTGGGACAGTGGCTGTGGGCAGCCTGCATAGCAGAGGTGCGGCACCTACTCACCACACGTCCAAAGGAAGCAGAACATGCAGATTTGCAATCTTTTTAGCACAGTTCACTGTGTAAAAGGATTATTTCCCTTGGGAAGATTCTTAGACATGGAATTACTAGGCCAAAGAGGACTAATGTTTTTAAGTCCCTTGATTAGTGTTCCCAGTTGGTTTCCAGCTAGATTTTGACCCCGGGAATGAATGTGTCATTCCATTTCATCACCTTAACTCCGTCACTCATTTTAATTTCAACTAGCAAGTAGGCTCTTCCAAAGATGAACATGTTGCTAAAAGAGTCTATTTATTTTATATTTTTAGAATTATCATTCTTGCCTTTTAATGTTTACTAGTTACATGATACAAATTAAAGAATATTTATAGGAAAAAAATGAATGTGACCTGGTGAGCAGAAGGAGTTCCCAAAGAAGGTGAGATCCAAACAGAGGGCAGAACTATATGAAAGACAAATGTGAATCAAAAACCACAAACCTAGCTCGAGCTTATAGTGAGAAGAAATTAATGACTCCAGTGCATCAACTGAGCACCTCAGTTAGGTCAGTCACTGATTTAGGACTGCCTGAAGCATAGCTTCCTCCCCTAGGATTTAGGGAAGCTCATTTTCCTCTTTCTTAAATTTCCCTGCACCCTCTTAAAATCCGCTAAAAATCATGGATCCCACCCTGTAGTCCAGATTGTCAGTTTACAGCCTGGAAGTAAGAACAATGGACTCTGGCTGGTACAAAAATAAAAGACACAAAGTGCAGGCACAGACGCCCCCAGCTCATCCCAGAGCAGAACTCTCGGGCCTCACTCAGTTATGCAAGTCCCACAGAGCTCACTGACTTGTTTGCAAAAACTGTTGCAGACTGAAATTGTTAAAGAAGTGAGCTGAGGTTGTTGGTGGCACTGACCATGGAAGGTAACTAGAAATACTGAGAGAAGACCTCCAAGAAACCAAGTTAGCAGTCTGTGGCAAATGATCTTAGTAAAGAAGTCAGAAAGCATATATCCTATCAGTAAAAGGTTTCCATCCAAAACATTTAATTCATTGCATGCTCTAGAACCCATGGTGTAGAAAGTCAGGTATATCTCAAAAGGTGTATGGAATCCCAATTGAAATAAGCACCCCCTCAAAAAAAAAAACTATTAGATTAAATCCTTGATCAAGCTAATGAGAACTTTCTTCATTACCTGTCAAAAGAATCCATGAAAACTGATAGTTTTAGGATACTGAAACCCATGTTTCAGGGTAAGTGCTGTCCACCCTGACATTTATAGAGATACAGAGTACATCCCTATACTCTGCCGTATCTAAAACTCTCTCCTGCTCTTGTTCTACAGCAGACATCAGTTTCCTACTACTGCTGGGACAGATGACCACCAACATGGTCAGAATCCTAAGTGGAATGCAGTGCCCTAGTATCAGCAGGTTAGGTTTCTTTCAGGAGTTGCTGGGGGGATATTCTCTGTCTTGGCTTTCCCAGTTTCTAAGATACATATTCCTTGGCTCGTGGTACCTTCCTATATCTTCAAAGTCAGCAGCCTAGCATCTCCCAATCACTTTCTGGCTCTGATACT